GATGGGATGCACTTCATTGGCCTGGGTCACAGAAGGCTCCACGCACAGAGCCACAGGTGACCCCAGAAGGACACGGAGTGTGAGCCCAAAATCAGCCTTTGAGTCTCGAGCGGTGGGGACTGACGCACCTGTCCCCAACCCTGCTCTGCCCCATGCGTGCTGTGTGACTACAGGCAACTTTCCACCCTCTCTGAGCCTCAGGCCTGGTGTAAGGGGGCCAGGGGACCTTCTCCACAGATAACACCTCTACGTGGATCAAAGGGGTTAGTGAGGCCCCTCACACTACAGTAAGTGCTCACAAATGTTCATTTGTCTCCCTCCCCCTGGCGTGGCAGAGTGTATTAGATCGAGAAACATCGTGATTCTAGAACCGCTTCAGTCTTTAGAAGACTGCCGGTGTGTATGCAGGTTTTGTGCCTAACAGGGCTTGACGGGGTTGAACAACGGACAAGAACATCCAGAAGTTTCTGACCACACTCAGGGGCTGCTCTCAGAACTTGAAGCGTCTGGACGGGGCTATAAATCCTGCAGGACAGGGCCCGGGGCTCTCGGGTCCTCGGGCACTGGGGAAAGGAAAGCTTTTAGGGGACAGAGCTTTCACCTGCGGCCAAGGGAAGAACGATCACTCGTCCACTCCGTCCTTGGAGGACCCTTCTGCCTTCCTAGAATCCTGCTCCCAATTCTCCCCCTCTTGCAGCCCACCTGCCTGGCGGAGGAACGCCCACTCACCGCACAAGACTCCGCCCCAGGACACCACTGTCCCCAGGGAGAGCTGACCGCGGGCCCTGCTGGTTCAGGGCTCTGGGTCTGGGCCACCCGGCAAGGGACGGTGTGCAGTACCCTCTCCCGGACACCCAGGGCCTCTGCCCGCACGGTAGGACGTGGCACCTTGCCGTGGCCGTGGGCCTGGCGAGGCTGCTTCCTTCACTCTGCCTGCCTTTTCTGCCAGGCAGCGAGAACCAAAACAAACCATTCTGTTCCTCTGGAAAAACACAAATAAATAAGTCATCAGAAGCGCTCTCTTTTCCCCTGTCACCAGCCCTGCCCCCTCGCTGATTCACTGGTGGGGTGGGGGAGGTGGGCGGGTGCCAGGCACCATGGCCGCCAACGGACCCCGTGCATCTTCAGGAAGCCTGGGAAGGGGCATGGCTGCCCCGGGCCGTCCAGACAGGCTGGGCTCACACGGGTCCCCAGCCCCTGCGCCCCTCCCCATGCTTCCCCTTGCACTTCATACTCAGGCCGCAGGGAAACCTGCCTGGAAATGCTCATTCTTCTGGACCACGTGGCTCCCAATTTCTGGATGCAGGGGAACCCAGCAACATGCCTCCCTGCACGAAACGCAAGGACGATGTGTGTGGTACAGCCTGGGTGAGGAGCAGAGCCCAGTTATTCTGGGGTAGGCACAGCCCCTCTCTGGGGCTCTGTCCGCATCTGTGGGAAGGGAGGTGGGGAATAACAAGGAGGAATCCCTCCAGAGCAGTGGATCCCAAGCAGGGCCATCCTGCACCCCACAGCTGGCAACATCAGGAGACATGGCTGGTTGTCACAGCTAGCTGGAGGGGTGGGGTTGCTCCCAATGTCTCGTGGGTGGTGGCGAGAGAGGTTGCTACACACAGGGCAGCCCCCCCACCCCCTGCCCAGAAAGAGATCCAGCCCCAGGTGTCAGTGGTGCTGTGGTGGGGATCCCCACTCTAGGGCCTCCCCCCTCAGATCTGCCTCCATTGGTGGAGACCCCAGATTTATTAAAGCAGCCTCCAGACCCAGCTGGGCTCCTGGCTCCCCCACTGACGGGCTGCCTCCATCGGGCAAGTTACGCAACCTCCCCGTGCCTCACCTTCCCTATGTGTGACGTGGGCTCAGGATGGGCTGTCAGGTGCCCTCAGTGACATGGCAAGGACGGAGCTGAGCACTGAGCTGGCCCCGTGCCATGCACTCCGTAAGTCCTTTCTGAGATTAAAGAATCAGAACTAAGCTAAACTTCTTTAATATTTCCATTCTTCCCCAGGGGAATGGCTTTATTGTATGGCTGAACCCTTCCTCACAGCAACGAGGCCCCGCGGTGCTGAAATGATGGAGTATTCTGCGTGAGATCCTGTGGAAATGTGCAGATTATAGAAACCTGTGGGCTTCAAAACGAGGATCCCAGACACCAGTCACCAGAGCTTTGGAAAAGTCTGCTTGCCTTGCCAAGCCTCTGTCTTCTGTCTGGCTTTTGGCCGGCAAGGACAGCACTCCGGGGTCCTAACCTCAGTGCTGGCACCACTCCCCACACTCAGGGAGTCAGTCTGTGGTCTTATAGAAGACTTGGGTCAGATTCCAGGCCTGATTCCAGCCCTTGTGATGGACAGGACTTGCTGAACGACTTCACACACAGAATTATTCTAAGGCCTGAGCAGATGGCAAGATATTCAGGGGAAGCACCCATGCATTTGAGGAAGGAAGGCTGGGGAGTCGGCCTTGGTGGGAGGAGGGAGATTTGGATGATAGTCAAGGAGTCTGCATCTCCTGCCTGACCAAAGGGAAAGGAGATTTCCCCTGAGGGAGCGCGGCACAGTGGCAAAGCGTTCAAGCCCCAACATCAGACAGACAGATTGGGGCTCAGACCCCCCAGTGGTGCCACCACTCCCTTCCACAGTCACTCAACAAACCCTCCTTCCAAGTGGACTTTTCCTTGCCATGAAAAAAAAAGAGCCACCCAAGAGTCAGCCTCAGGCTTATTGGGAAAATATCTGAAGCAGCCCAATTAATATCAGGAAGAAGAGAAGAGTGCTTGATAATTCCAAAGATGGTTTTAGAGGTACTAGCTAACATGACTGGACAAGAAAAAGAAATGAGGCACAAAAACTGGAAAGCAAATAAAGTTATCATGGTTTGCAAATAGCATAATGGGAAACAAGAGATTATCAACAGAAAAAGTATAACAAAGATAAGAAATTTCAGTAAGGTGGCTGGGTATAAAATTCATATATAGAAACCGTTAAGTTTTGTCATCTAAATGAGAGTCAGTTGAAAGATGTAATGGGAGAGAAGACCCTATTTATAATAGCAGTGTACAAAGAAATAAGTAGGAACAGGTGCAAAGATCTACATACAATATCTCTGAAGATTATTCCAAAACACTATGAAGGAAAATTTGAACAAGTGGAAAGACAAACAGATCTTCCTCAACTTATGATGTGGCTATGTCCCAATAAGCCAATTGTAAGTTAAAAATATCCTAAGTACACACTGCATTTACTACACCCAACCCACCAAACATCAGAGTGTAGCCCAGCTGACCTTAAGCGTGCTCAGAACACTCACATTAGCCTACACGGGGGCAAAATCATCTACCACAAAGCCTATTTGATTATCAAGTTGTGGACTATGCCATGTAATTTATTAAATACTGTACTGAAAGTGAAAACCGGAATGGTTGTATGGGGACAGAAACTTGCAAGTGTGTCAGGTGTCGAACCTCATGGTTGCCTGGCTGACTGGGAGCTTCAGCTCACAACCACTGCCCAGCATTACAAACAAGGGTGTTTTTGGACAATTGTACTGTAGTCTGCTAGCCTGGGATGAGATCAAATTTCAAAGTATGGATTCTACTGAATGCTTGCCACTTTCTTACCATCGTAAAGTTGAAAAGTCGTAAGTTGAATCCTCATAAGTCAGGGATTATCTGTACTGTGTTCTTGGATTCAGTACCATGAAAAGTCCATTCTCTTTGAATTAATCTATGAATTCAACACAATCTCAGTAAAAAATACTAAGTGGATTCTTGGAGGGGCAAGACTACACAAGCTACTTCTAAAGTTCGTATAACAAAAGAGCTGAGGGAATAGATTAAGAAGGCATTAAAACATATCAAAAGCTGCAGGAGGTGACACAGTGAGATACTAGTGTATGGATAGACAATGAAAGCCATGAAAATGTATCACGATCTATCTAGATACTCAAATCTAGTATATTATAATATATAGGTTTGCAGTTTACATCAGTGGGGGAAAGATGGACAATTCAGTGAATGGTATTGGAACAACTGGCTACCCATTTGGAAAAAAAATAATAAAGTTGGATTCCTACCTCAAAACTTACATCCAAATAAATTCCTAACAGATCAAAGATTTGAAGGTGAAAAATTAAAACATAAAAAAAGTAAAGGAAAACATGAGTGGATTTTTAATGACCTCTGAGTAGGGAAAGCTTTCTCAGTCTGATACAAAACCCAGAAGATATAAAAGAAAAGAAATGGATCCAATTTGATTATATAACAACTAAAAATTAAGCATGAGATAAAAGCATCACAGATTTAAAGACACATTGGGAAAATACTTGCAACTCATTGTATTTCTTTCATATATAAAGAGTCCCTACAAATAAATAAGAAAAAAGCCAACAATTCAATGGGAAAATGGCAAAGGACATAAACAGCTGGCTCTCAGTAAAAGAAATACAAGTGGCTCTCCAAGATGTGGAAAGATGCTTAGTTTCTTTCACTCATGATGAGAGAAATGCATGTTGTTTCAATCCTGCTTGCCTTTCCTTAGCATATTCCCACTGCTTTTCTGCAGGGTTAATTTCTCTTTCTTTACACTCTTCGTCCCTTCCATTAGAGCCTTGGTCTCTTATGTTTTAATCACCTTAAGGAAAGAGGCTGCCTGGGATTAATCTCTGGGTCAGAACCGCCAATCAATATCTGTTGCACAAATAAATAACGAAGGAAAGAACGTGGATTCCTGGTCCACGCACCTTCCGTGCCTCTAAGCCTTCCATATTCCCTACCCCCGACTTCACTTAACTTCTGCAGCAGCCCGGGGACGTGGGTATCGTGCCCATTTCCCAGAAGACAAGGCTAAAGTCAGAGGACAGACAGGCCAGAAAACCTGTCACCTGAAGACCTCCCCAGAATCCTTCCAGGCCCACCTGTCCTGCTCTGGTTACCCGACAGCCGCCCCAGAGGATGGGGTGATTGAGTGGCCCCCCTGCCGCCATGGGGGCCCCAGCGCGGTACTCACTTGTGCATGTAGCCCTCGGAGCCGGCCGTGAGGTTCGCCTGCATCACCGCCTGGAACTCTGTCTCGTTGCAGCAGTATTTGAAAACTGTGTTGTTATGGTGACAGCAGAGAATGAAGGTTTTGTTGTCCGAGAGCCGGGGGCAGTGGAAGCCAAAGTGATAGCGGCCTTTGTGGTCCGTATACGGCTCACAGACCCGGAAATGCGCGGACAAGACTGGAAAACAGAGAACCGGGCTCAGTGGGGGGCTTCCCCAAGCCCGCTGCCCCGCGAGTCCACGAGCGCCGGGACAGGGAGCCCAGTCAGTCTGTTCTACAGCGCTGCTAGCCTCTTCCCTCCCCAGGAAGGCTTTGTGGTCCAGCTTTGTGGTCCAGGAAGCTGGCTCCAGGCTGCTGTCACGTCCCAGACCTCCCTCGACACCAGCCCTGCTTCCACTGTGTCCCCTAGACGGGGGGGCTCCTTGCGGGCAGGGCTGCATCTTAAGCCTCATGGGGATCCCCTCCAGGGGCTCTGCACACAGCAGGCACTCAACTAGGACACAATATTAACTAAGTGCCTACTATGCACGTCATACACTACATCCCATTTAACCCACTTGGCAGCCTAGCAGCAGGTCTGGGATCCCACTGAAGGCTCTGTGATCTGACCTGGTAAGAGGTGGTGGGAGGGAATCCAACTCAAGCCTGCCTGGGTCTGACGTCCAGCCCTCTCCACTCCTGTCACCGGCTTTAATAACCTCTGCTACCGGGTGGACTGGGGGCGGCTCGCCCCCAAGCCCAGGACACCTGGCTGGAAAGCAGCATGGGCGCAGGAACGGGGTCCCGCTCTTGAAGGAAGCAGCATCTCCTCGGTACCACGGTTTCTACTAAACCAGTGCCCTAGCCCCAGAGGTCCCCAAGGGCCTGCCCTGGCCACCCTCATCTCACGGTCACAAAGCTGCCCTGGCTTTGGGCCTCCCTCCCCTGGCTCAAGGAGGGAGGCCCCTATTCAGCCACAGAGGCTGCTGCAAACCCAGGACAGTATTTACCAGTCGTGTGGATGGTGATAAATAGGAGCGAAAGCCTAAGCAAATGTAACAATGGAAAAAAACCTGGAGCCTGCTGTCTCTGGCTTAATTAGTATCTTCATAAAAGGCATCGCTGTATCTAATTTGTATCGCTGAAAAGGGGCTTTGTCGGCTGAATACATGTCTCTAACCACAAAGGCTCTGGTTTTGCAAAAGCTCCTCAGCTAGTTGAAAGCTCTGTCTCTGCGGAGCGGTAACCAGACAGCAGCCCACACGGTTCCCTGTGCGCCCGCCCGGGGCTGCCAGAGGGGAGTCCCCGCTGCGCTGGGCTGGCCAGTGGGCGGACGGGCCTCACGAGCTGGAGTGCTGAGGCCGGCTTGGGTGGCCTCCTGAAATCCTGTGCCCAAAGTACAGCATCGTGGGGATAGACGTGCACTTTGGGAAGAGGGACCCAGAGTTTCAGGGCCCAGGGGAGCCCTCCAGGTCCCCTTGCTCGGCCTTGACCTTGGGAAACAGAAGACCCTCCTGTGGGGAGACAGGGGCACTAAGGATGCCCCATCCTCGGCGGGGCATGCCCCATCTCATTTAATCTCATGCACTCCCATTGTACAGAGGAGAAAACTGAGGCTCAGAGCAGGGGTCTCACAGCGTGGACCTGACCTACTGCATCTGCATCTTCTGGGGACGTGTCACAAAGCAGCTTCTCAGGCCCCCCAGCAGACCTTCTGCATGAGCAACACTGGCGTGGGAGGTAAGCCCTGCAGGGGAGGCCAATGGGCTGGGGTTTGGGACCCGCCCGCCCAGAGGGAGGGTGTGCCGGTGGCTGGTTGTGAGGGTTAGAGGCAGGAAGTCCAGTGTCTGTCCAGACAGGTGAGGACGCCCCGCTGCGGGTCCGCTCGCTGGGAGCTGGATGTGTCTGCGACACGCAAGCAGCTGGTTAGAAAGACCAGCTCAGGCCCCGAGGCTGGACCGGGAGGCTAGGACCTAAGGCAGGAACCAGGGAGGGAAGGGGTGGAGCGGGGAGGTGGCCTTTGAGCTGGGCTTCAGGGGAGCCCACTCTGCAGAGCTGGGGTGGGGAGGGAGGCTGGGTAAGGCAGGGGACAGGAGACGTCCCACTGGATCACCTGGCCACCCCCAGAGGGTCAGTGCCAATTGTGTTGCCATTTGGCAAAGACAAGGAGACCACTGCCGCTTCCCAAGGAAGAATGAGCTGAAGTTGCCTAGAGCTAGGAGCCGGGACAGCGGGCTCCAAACCGTGGAGTACGCGGGATTACCTTTGCTATCACAACCTCTCTGGGCCTCCTTCCCCCCACAGATGGGAGACCCCTGGCAGCCCAGATGGCTGGGGCTCCGAGGAGAGTTTTGTAAACAGCAAAGCTTCGGCCTTGCTTCGAGCAGGGAGGTATGAGTGAGTGAGTGAATGGATAATACAGGGCTGCACCTGCTGGCTTCCAGGCTCAGTGTGGTTCTCAGCCCGTGCCTGGGGGCCGAGGGCAGAGGGACGCTCTGTTAGGAGGCCAGTGGGTTCTGAGTCACCAGGAGAACAGGTCTAAGTGGAGAGGGGACACCAAGGAGAGAGCCGCTGTCTTGGGCTCCGAGAGAAGACCACAGTGCGCCATCATCTATCAGCCGCGTGACTGTGGCCTCGGGCAGCTCACAGTCCTTCTTTGAGCCCTGTTTCCTCACTTGTAAAAGGGGTGAAGGCTTCCTCCTCTCTCCCAGGAGGCGGTGAGGGCCAGACGCGCTAATGCACGGAAAAGGAGTCAAGGAGGAACTTGGTAAACAATGGCCCCCAGACCCTTGGCCTGGCTTTGGCTCTGCTGTCCTGAAGCCCCCAGTCCCCAGGGCCCTTCATGGCCTCCCTATGAGCCAGGCCCTCAACAAAGGGGCAAGGGGGCATGAGGAGGTCCTGTGCACAGATGCACGAACAAGAGAGACAGGGAGACAGAGACAGAGGGAGACACAGAGCAGGTGCCTTGCTCAGAACAGGGCTTAGCCAGCCGCTGCTGCTGTCGGGAAGTAAGGCAGGCTTCTCCAGGCGGCCAGCTTTAGTTTGGAGCAGCCGAAGGACTTGCTTTATGCCCATCTTTGTAAACAGGAATGTGAGAGCCCATCTGCTGCATTAGGGGGTGCCTAGGAGGTGGTTGGGTGCTGGCAGGCGGATAAGAACCCCAGCCCCTGCACTAGCTGTGTGGCCTCCTGCTAGCCAGTTCTGCTCTAAGACTCAGTTTCCTCATCCATACGATGGGATGACCACGACATTTTGGACTTGCCTTTCAGGCGTAGGTAGAGAATTCATGGGAAGGCTTTTCCCAGGCTGGCAGCCACCATTAACTCCACTGCGCCCAGGAGGACATTCAGTGTGGCTCCTGCCATAGGCACGTGGGGCGCAGCACACAGTAGGTTCTCACTGAACAGCACCGAACGTTAGCTCCTCACCAGGGGGATGCCGGGGGACTAGGGGCACCCCCCTGCCAGTACCCGGAACCCCCACTGGGCTAGTGCTGACCCCGGGAAGGGACCCCCTGCGCCCCCGCTCCCCGCCGCGCTGGGCACCCACGGAGGTTCTACCTGCAGAAATCAGCAACGAGAGGACGGTGAGCACGTTCAAGGACTGCTGGCCACAACTGGTCATCATTTGGCTGGCATCGATCCGTCGGGAGCTGCCTGTTTAACGAGATCCGGCAGAGGCTGGGTGTGGGTTGCCTTGCCTGCGGGTGCAGACACTGGCTTTGCTGCCCACAGCGGGGGACGGGCGGGGAAGCGTGTTTGCTGGGAGCAGGGGCTGGGCCGCCGATGATGGAAACGCTGCCATCCAATTTCCTTTCTGGAATGAATGACCTCCCCCCACCAGTCAACTGTCACCTCCTTTTCCTTTCACGGCAAAATGAGACTTAATCAAAGGAGGACCGATGGCTCAGGTGGTGGAAACAACCGGTGGGCTGAGGCCAGGGGGCCGGCGCCCGGAGTGCGGGGGGCCAGAGCGGCCACGTGGCACGGGGGTGGGCGGTGGGGTGATTGGACAGGAGCTCATGCACCCCGGGGGGCTTGCGGGACGCAGGTCTCTCCCTGCTGTGCTGATCACAGTGACTTCCATTAACCCCTCCACCAGTCCGCACGGAGCCGGGCACCTTCCACGCACTAGGGACACAGCCGTGGACAAAACAGACGCCAAGTAGCACTAAGCGGAAGCTGTCCCTGCCCGGCTGGCCCTCCAGGGAGGGAGGCTGACGGCTCACAGACGAGCAGATGAATGTTTGAAACGCTACGAGGCCCCTGGGGATACACCCTGAAGAACTGAAAGCAGGGGTGCAGACAGATGCTTGCACACCCATGTTCACAGCGGCAAAAGGTGGAAACAACCCTAGTGTCCGTGGACGGTATGTGTGGAAACAAACGTGGCCGATTCACACGGCGGAATAGGATTTGGCCTCAAAAGGGAAGGGGTGCCGACACGTGCCATGACACGGACGAACCGTGGACGGTTCGTGGACGAACCACATCCGAGGATGTGGTGCTCAGTGACATGAGCCCAACACGAAAGGACAACCCCTGTGTGATTCCACGCCATGAGCTCCCCAGGGTCGTCACGTTCCTAGAGACGGCGAGGAGGATGGTGGGCGCCGGGGGCTGGGGATGGATGGGAGTTCATGTTCCATGGGGACGGAGTTTCAGTTTGGGAGGATGGACGGAGTACTGGAGACGGATGGTATTGATGGCTGGGTGGATGGAATGCCACTGAACTGTGCACTAAAAATGGTTAAAACGTCAATTTCATGTTATGTGTGTTTTACCACAATAAACAAAATATGAGGAGGAATAAAGCCAGGTGTGTGTGTGTGGGGGGGGTATATAGCAAAGCCGGGGGGCTCCTTCAGACAGGGTGGTGGGGGAAGGCCTCGGGCGGAGGTGACGGCGGGCAGACCTGAGTAAGGCAGGAGTGAGCAGCATGGCTATTGGGAGGAACAGTGCTGCAGACTGGGGAGCAGCAGGTGCAAAGGTCCTGAGGCAGGAGCAGCCGGGAGGCCAGTGGGGGATGTGGGGGGTGGGGGAACAGGAGGCCACCTGAGGCAGGGCCTTGGCCCTCGGGGACCACTTCACATCAAGTTGTTGAAGCCCTGGGACAAACCTGAGGGCACCTCACCATCACCACCCCCTCCCTGCAGGGGTGTGGGAATGGAGGCTGGGGACAGGAGAAGGCCTACGTGTGCTCTGTGTAAACTCAGTGGCCCAACCCGAGTCCCAGCAGGCTGTAAGCTGCCTGTGGCTGCAAGAGGTGTAGACACTCGGGATGGGGATTAATTCGCTGAGCCCCTAATATGTGCCAGGCTGATCCTCTTCCCTCGTGGCACCTCATCATGGTGTATGAGTTGTGTCTACCCAAATCCTACGTTGCAGTCCTAAACCCCCCGTACCTCAGAACGGGACCTTATTTCGAAATAGGGTCATTGGAGATGTAGGTCACGCTAGAGTCTGGTCGGCCCCAACCCAACACGACTGGGGCCTTATAAGAAGGGGAAATTTGGACACGGAGACACGCACGGCGAGGAGACCATGTGAAGGCAGAAGCAGAGGTTGGGGTGATGCCTCTAAGCCAGCGAACCCCAAAGATCTCCAGCAAACCTCCAGAAGCTGGGGGAGAGCCTGGGCAGACTCCCTGGCAGCTCCCAGAAGGATCCAGCCCTGCCCACACCTTGATCCTGGACTCTGGCCTCCAGACCACAAGAGCACACACTTGGGTTGTGTGGTGCTTTGTTCCGGCGGCCCCAGGACACCACCACACACCCTCCCGTGGGGATTACCCCAGGACGGGTTGGGATGGACACCGAGGTGTGAGGGGTGCTCTCGGCTCACCTGGGAGCTGGAGCCTGGACAGGCCCCTCACCACCACTCCGCCCCTCGTGGAGACCTGTGCGCCCTCCCAGCCAGGCTGTCCCCTCAAAGGCAGAGCAGGTTTTGGGGGCTTCCTTGACCCCTCCAGTCCTGTCCCCTCGTTTGGTGAAGTCCTCCCCCTCCCAGGGGAAGGTCTGAGAGCAGAGGACACACTGCAGAGATTTGCTGCCAGAGAATATCGTTCTGGAAGAGGGCACTGGGAAGGGCATGGCACAGTCCACAGGAATGGCCTTCTGACAGCCCAGGCTGTCCCGGGGCACCTGCTCCGGGCCCCGCCAGCCTGTCCTTACCCTCGGGAGCTCACAGCTCAGTCAGGGAGGGCACAGGGGCACCAGCTGGGGTCCGAGGAGGCCCTAGTCCTCCTGAGTGGTGGCAGGCAGAGCAGGGAGCCACCCTGGGTAACCCGGAGGCTCGAAACTTCCGAGGGAGGAGACAGGACTGGACTCCAGGCCAAATGCAGGGGGTGGATGGCCGGGCCCTGCGGGTGGACCGAGGATGCCAGGTGCTGTTCGTCTGAAGCGTGAGCCAGGGTAAGAGGGGGGACGGCATGAGTGGAAGATGGAGCCGAAACGCCTTCCTTCGTGCTTATGCAAGCTGATGTCGGGGCAGCCCCTGGGGAAGGGCCCTCCCATCTCTCCCACAGGCCTCCCTACACCCATCGGAGCCCCACTGGCTGTAAGCTGCTTAATTGTTCTGAGCCTGGGCCTCCTCCCGGCCTCCCTCAGGGCTCTCCTGGGAGGATGAAGGAGATTAAACATTTCAAAGTGCTTAGCCAGGATTTGCACTGAGGAAACCCAAGGATCCACCCTGGAAACCACAGGGTCGGGGGGGTGGAGGGGTGGGGAGTGACAGGTCCTCTGAGATGGTCCCCTCCGAGCCTCCACTCTGTAGGTGAGCAAGCCAAGGCCCACTGAGGGCTGACACAGGTCTGCGGACTGCGGGCCCTCTGGCTCCCGTAGGATGGGGCTGCCCCACTTTGGGAGCCAGGCTCAAGTCTGAGGGCCAGTGGGCTTGTTGAATGAATACAGGGAGGGGGGCTGCACCTCTGCCTTGTACCCAGCACTCCCTGCTGCTCCAGCCCCTACAAAGCCCTCCTCATAGTAGGGCGCTGCACGCACACCTGGGTGTCCCCCTCTTTCTCCCGTGAGCCCAAATCCTGCACCACCCTAGAAGCGGCTCCAGGAGGCCTGCCTCGATCCCGTCAGCTGGGAGAAGTCTGTCCCTCCATGAGACACGTCATGTTCCATCTCTTCTTTCATTCATGTGTTCATGCATTTACTCATTCACGCATTCTCCCAATATCCACTCGTTAACCCCCAGTCTGGAACAGGGTCTGGGCTGGGGTCTAGGGGCGGGGAGGACGGGGGATGCCAGGCTGGACGCCCACCAAGCTCTCCCTTACGTGATGGGTCCCCAGGCCCTCCTCTGATAGGGCCATGAGGGTCCTGGGCCAGGGCCTGGCCAGCTGGGGGCCATGGCCATGGAGCTTGGGTTCCAGAGTCCCACAGACTGGGTGGGAAGCCCAGCCTGGCCAACGCCGGCCTCGGGCCCTCAGGCCTGTCTGGGGAGACTGAAGGCCTCAGGGGCCAGCATGCTGCAGATGTGTGGGAACAGGATACACGAAGGCTGCATTTGTCCCCGCCCGGGACTGGTCTGCTCAGACTCCGCGGCTCGGCTGTGCTCCCCACGCCCACCTGGGGCTGCCTGGACGTGACTCCATGGCAGGGGTTGGCGGCAGCAGAAGCCGCAGCCCTGTTTGCTGGACAAAGGTTGGGGTACAGGGACTCGGCGGGGGGGAGGGGGCCATGGGGGCCTATGGAGAGGAGCCGCTCAGGCGCCAGAACTGAACGCCGAATCTACGATGGAACAAAGCCCACCACATTAAAAACTCCATTTCTCACGAGACAGCAAAACTCAGAAGCCGGCCACTCCAGCCTGGCAGGGTCAGAGTGGCTTTGGAAACTCAGTGGCCGGCAGCAGCTGTGATCCTTGGTCTGTCCTCAGGGGTCACGCAACTGACAGCACCAACCTTCACAAGGCCAAAGCCATGCCCTCACGCTCTGCGTGCGGTCTGCAGAGGGGGACGTGTGCTCAGCGACTATGAGCTCAGGTGTAAAGGGCATGTCAAGCCACCAGGTACGGCCACCTGGGGCCCACCCAGGTGACAGCTGTGGGAAACGGGGAGCCACCTTCTTCCCACTGGGGTGCCCCAGGGCCGGCTTTCTCAGGTCGTTCCCACACCCACCCCCGCCCGAGTCCTGGACTCTGACTTTTCTCTGCATAGTCTCAGGGAATCTCGCCACCCGGCACTGACAGGTCATCAAACCCCATCTCGTAAAGAAGGAAACTGAGGCCCAAGGTCACACAGCTCCTCAGCGGCTCAGGCGGGAGGCCAACCCGGCCTAGATCCTGCTCGCCACCTCTGCGCAGCAGGAGTTTCCACCTCCTCCCCAGCCCCCCGAGAAAGCACATTTACCACAGACAGATTAGATTTATTGTCCTGGGTTCTAGTTCTTTGAAAATTGGTAAACGGTCCATGAGGGTAGCTCGGGGCCGACAATAAAACTCCAATAACCGAGAGAACATTCTGGATGAGTAGGACTCCCCCTGAGCTCTGGCCGCATCCAGAATCACGAGTCGGGTACGCATCTCTGCGGTCCACCCCTCGGGTCAGCCGGGGACTGCTGTTCCCAGATTTGAGGATTATTTTTAAACACCGAATTTGGCGAGGCTGGAGAGGAG